TAAATACAGTACTAGCCTATAAATCTGGTAGACTCCCTAGGTATGCAGAAGTATATAGTTGTACGAACTAAAGAAGAATTTGTATTCTCAAAATTTGTTAAAATTGCTGAGACTGCCCAGCAAAATCCTTTGAGTTAACAGACTGCTTACAATAGCTACATCATTTAAAAAAAAACCCTAGAAAATCGGTGAACAACATAATGCATAATGTCAGTAATAGCACAATCCTAAGTAAACCTATTCAGAAGTAAGTTCCATTAGATTCAGTGAAACATTTTCAGGAAAGTGTGTACATCTGCTGTTTTAGAAGCCAAATCCTTTCTTGCTTTAAAAAACAACCCCCGAAATATTTTATGACAAGGCTTTTGTTTTCAAGGGAGATAACAATCTGTTTATACAGTATATCCATGCTCACCAACAGGATGGGAGAAAGGTGGTATGAGCCCACAGAAATGTTCAGTTGCCCCACATGTGGCCTGTATATTGCCCATTCTGGATATATATGTTCTGGGGCTGAATGGTTTTAGATGCAGAAAGTGTGCTAAAGAAGGGGGGAAAAGAGTAAAAGGCCATGCATGGGCTTTGTGTCCAATTTGAGGGCTTCCCTTAGAGCCTGACTGGCCAAACTGAGAAACAGGATGCTGGTCCAGACAAACCTTTGGTCTGATGTTGGGGGGCTCTTACATTAAAGTATACAAAGATGAGACAAAAGATGATATGCACAAAAATAAATTTTGACGAGACATTAAAAAAACCCAAACAACAAAAACTCATTTTCCCTCCCAGAATAGTAAACTGAGGTTCCTTTCACTACCTACGAGACTTACATGTTCCTTCAGCAGCACTCCTGCTTGTTCAGAGACGGAGAGACAGACGCTTGCTCCAGCCTCTCTTAACAACAGCAGCTGGGAGACAGACATAAAGCAGTTTGACCTTCCCCAAAGTTAATTAAAGTAGCAAGTTGCATGTACACCCTACAGCAGCTACTTACTTCTGTCATATCTGGCTTTCATATAAAGGACTTGCCTGCTTTGAGTGAAGTTCTGGTAAACAGAGACATTCACCAAAACACTTTAAAAAAAAAAAAGCTTATCCAACATTTTTTTACAACTCGTTGATTTCTTTGGAGCAGACTCAATGCCTGAAAGCTATATTTACACTAAGTTCTCAAATGGTCAGTGGAATTTCTAATATTTCATAGGCTAAAACTTCAACTCAGTAAAACAATCAATAGTGAAACGTTTATCCCTGGTTTCCTACAGAGTAAACTGGGTAAGCTTGAGTTGGCAAGCAGAAGTCAGGATGTTAAAAGCTACAAACTTTTATTTGGTATGTTGTACCTTGATTGTGAAGAAGCAACCCTCAAGAATTTTGTTTTCTTTACAAAATTTAGATCTTCTCCAATGATCAGAAGGCACTAGAAAATCTAAACAGTTGTAACTAAAATCACATAATCATAGAACAATTGTGTTGGAAGGGGCCTATAAGGCCATGAAGTCCGATCCCCTGCTCAACAAAGGAATCAAAATCAAGTTAGATCTGACATATAGTTGTCCAATTTTCACTTGAATGACTCCAGTGTTGGAGCACTCACCATCTCCCAGAGTAATGGGTTCCATTGTTGCAATGTTATAACAGCTAAGAAGTGTTTCCTTATATTCAGCCTAAATCTGGCTTCCTATAGCTTGAGTCCATTATTATAGCTCCTGAACTCTGGGATGACTGAGAACAGATCCCACTTCTCCTCTGTATGACTACCTTTCACATATTTGAAAAGTGCTATCCTCTCCCCTCAGTCTTCTTTTCTCAAGGCTAAACATACCCAACTCTTTCCTCATAGAACTTGGTTTCCAGTCCTCTGATCATCCTTGTTGCCCTATTCTGAGCTTGCTCCACGTTTGCATCCTCCTTAAAGTGTAGTGTCCAGAACTGGACACAGTACTCTATATGAGGTCTATGCAGTTCTGAATAGAAGGGGACTAGTACCTCATGGCATTTGGAGGTGTACTTCTGTTAATGTATCATGAAACCACATTTGCCTTTTTTGCAGCCACCTCACACTGTTGGCTCATATTCAGCTTTTGATCTACACCAACTCCAAGATCTTTCATGCTCATAGTATTATTGAGCCAAGTATCCCCTCATCTTTCAATTGTTCATTTGGATTTTTCCCCCTAGGTGTAGAACTCTGCACTTATCCATGTTAAATTTCATTCTGTTGTTTTCAGCCCAGTGCTCAAGCCCATCAAGATATTTTAAAATTTTGTTCCTGTATTCCAGGAACTATTCCACCCAATTTTGTACCATCCACAAATTTGGTAATTATACTCTGTACTCCCTCCCTCATCCAAGTCATTAACAAAAATGTTGAAGAGAACTGAGCCCAGGACTAAGCCCTGAGGTCCACTTGTTACCTTCTCCCAGTATGGGAAGGTGCCACTGATTCTGTCACCAACTGTTCTATCCATAACAAATCAATAAGACACTATCTCAATACACTAAAAATCTCAGAGTCAGGATTACCCGGTGTTTTTTTTTTCTTCTAAGAAAAAAACACCCCTCTGTACTGAATATATTCTAAAACAAGGAGGGTCACTGCTAAAAAAACACTGCAGCTTGTGTTGGAGGAAGCTCTTGAGAGTCCCCTGGACTGCAAGGAGAACAAACCTATCCATTCTAAAGGAAATCAACCCTGAGCGCTCACTGGAAGGACAGATCCTGAAGCTGAGGTTCCAATACTTTGGGCATCTCATGAGAAGAGAAGACTCCCTGGAAAAGACGCTGATGTTGGGAAAGTGTGAAGGCAGGAGGAGAAGGGGACAACAGAGGACGAGATGGTTGGACAGTGTCACTGAAGCTACAAACATGAATTTGACCCAACTCCGGGAGTCAGTGG